ATCATGTGCGTGGCCAGTAAGAAAGTTGAACATCAGCTGAACAAAAAACATGAGAAACAAATTGGAAAGGAACATTCTCAGATATATTTATGAATAGATATATAAAGAAATAAATTGAGAATTCTCATTCTCCATGTGATGAAAATATTAATTCTTTTTCGGTTTATTCAACAGAAAACAACTACTTTCCTGCCTATATGCCACGACGAATATTGAATTACATCTATTGAACACACACGATAAGAATTTGAAAACAAAATCTTCTGAAGTAGAGAATTTGCATTCTCCTTCATATAAAGATATGCATATAATTTAATTCTGAATATTCAACAGAAAACGTCTACTTTCCTGGCTTTTTTGCTCAATTGAGAATTTCTTTCCACGTCCTGTATGATGAATGTCAATTCATCATATATCCTAAAAAAATGAGAAACAAATATGTTTTATCGTGTTTTATGAAAGATGTAATGCCATTTTTGTGTACTTTTCCATTGAACAAGTGCAGACATATCATTGTTTGAAACCCTTACAGTATAGCGTAACACCAAAGGCACATAATGCTCATTTTGATATATTAATATTAAAATCAGATCATTCAATGTATAAAATGGAAAATAAAATGGATACTGGAATTCGAAACTTCGCCAATAACACTTGAAATGTCTTCTCGTCTTTGAGGACAACTCAAATGAATGGTTCGAATCCAGAAGTAATTTAGCATTTTGAAAATTATAAAAAAATAGGCTGCCTGAAAAATTCCTGGCCAGGAAATAATTATTCAGAAATTCGAAAATCACTTTATTTTCAATTTCTACCGAGGAGCTCAATGGAGAAATTTTACACCAACCGTGAGTACAAAGCCTATATAGAAAATGCAAACGTAGGGTTGCCTATATTTTTCCCGGTCTAACTATTGGGCTGCAATGTGTAAACAGGCATTTCGACCCTAGTTATTCTCAACTTCTTGTTCAATCTACAGTGTGACCCACTTCTAATGGAAACATCCCTGATGTATCTTACGTAATCGTTGGGTAAAGATCCTGAAATTTGCTGGAGCGAGAGATATACCAAAATTGCAATTTATGATCGAGTTGGGTCATCTTCAGTGATATACACTGCTCGCCATGGAACATTACCATCGATACTATACACGTCGTGGGTAACGCATGGAATCACCACAATTTCCGGAAAACGATATTAGGAGTCAAAAAAGGTCGAAAATTACTTCAGATTCGGAATCAGGACGCCCAATTCACTAACTATTTATATTTTTCCTGGAAAATTTTCAGTTCTGAAGAATTAAATTTTGTCGCACTTTCTACGGTAGCACCCCCGTATCTCACGTAATTGACTTCATCTTTGGACTTTTCCTTCCTCCAGCAAATTTCAGAACCCTACCTCAATAATTACGTGATATACGGGGGTGCCTTCTATGAGAAGTGAGACAAAATTTAATTTTTCTGAACTGAAAATTATCTAGGAGAACTATGAATAGTTAGTGAACTGGGCGCCCTGATTCCGAATCTGAAGTAATTTTCGACCTATTTTGACTCTAATATCGTTTTCCGGAAATTGGGGTGGTTCTATGGCCGTTGGCGAGCAGTGTATATCACTGAACATGTCCCCACTTGGTCATAGACTGCATTTCTGGTATATCTCTCGCTCCAGAAAATTTCAGGATCCGTACCCAACGATTACGTGTTTCCATTAGAAGTGGGTCACACTGTACATATAAATTAAACATGGAAATGAGCGCAGGGTTGCTCGCAAGAAGTCTGTCCTGAAAGATGGTTTGTCGAATTTAAAAGAATAAAATTTTAGTGCGACACGGTGCGACTGTAAACGTGCGACAAAGAGGTCCGAGACAAATATCTACCAAAATCTATAATCAAAATTGTTCTTCAGATGAACAAAACATAGAATAATAACTATAAATCGATAGTTATCATTTATCAATATTTAAAAGTAATAGTTAAAATGCAATATTCATATTTATGGTGTAGTATGATGATATTCATGTACTGAACATAATTTCCTGTGCTGGTTTTTATTTTTTCATTTGAAATTTTCGACGGTTCATTTTGTTCATTTTCATCAACTTTCTTGAATAAAGATACAAACTCCATCTAAGTAAACCATCGCTTCCTGAGTTTTACTCATGACAACATCTGTGTTATATTTTCAAATTAATATATTTATCTAACATACATCAACCCATAAATTATCATAAATTTCATATACTACCAGTTGCTCCAAAATATTGTTTACTACATCTTCTCCAGTTGTATAACAGGAAACGTGAATTCACTTTCAGAGGCGTCAATTGTATTTCATGAAAATTGTGTATATTGAGAAGAGTGGCTGAAAGATAACTGATCTTCAGGTCACTGAAGAGGGTTCGAAATCCGAAATTCGAATGAAGTCATATAAGTTTGTGAGAGATATAATTCCCATATAGATAAGAATGATTTTTTTCGAAGTTCCAAGCTCATCAAGATCAGAGTTTATACAAGTTTACTCCTCCTTTACATTCCAATTTCTATTTCAATACTGAACATATTGTTGAGTTATATTTTCAAATCATAGTACATCATATTTATCAGATTTGAGAAATTGTCAATTCTCAATTAAAAAGGATTTTAATTTTTCATTCTCTCTTTTTGGATTTTCAACAGATATAATTCATTGTTCGACGTGGCAAATATTGCCAGGAAATTAGTTGTTTTCTGTTGAATATTCAGAATGATGCTATGTGCTACGAAAGCGCTGAACGGACATGATACTTTTTTCTTATAATTGCCAGTTTGATCTGGCAATTAGCTATAATTGCCAGTTTGAACTGGCAACTAGCTATAATTGCCAGTTTGAAATGGCAATTAGCCATAATTGCCAGTTTGAACTGGCATTTAGCCATAATTGCCAGTTTGATCTGGCAATTAGCTATAATTGCCAGTTTGAACTGGCAATTAGCCATAATTGCCAGTTTAAACTGGCATTCAGCCATAATTGCCAGTTTGATCTGGCAATTAGGTATAATTGCCAGTTTGAACTGGCATTTAGCTATAATTGCCAATTTGAACTGGCAATTAGCCATGACAGCTCTGTCTAATAGATGCACATTACTTGAGAGGGAATCAGATGGCTAGAAGACGAAGAAATCAAAAATGTCGCTGTTATCTGTCACAGCCGTAGAAAAATTATGGTGTATAACTCGCAGGGAATACTAATTTCCCACTCGAAAGATTGCAGCATTATTCGCCTACGGCTCAGGCTGCAAATTTCATTTTCGGGAAAAATCACTATCATTCCGTCCTCAGTCCACTCGCCCTTTGCGTTGGTAGAAATAATCGTTCGCGTTTTTCGGCGTCACTAGATGGCGATAACATGACTAGATCTTTCAGTACGGAAGCGCTAAATGCCAGTTCAAACTGGCAATTATAGCTAAATGCCAGTTCAAACTGGCAATTATGGCTAATTGCCAGATCAAACTGGCAATTATGGCTAATTGCCAGATCAAACTGGCAATTATGGCTAATTGCCAGTTCAAACTGGCAATTATAGCTAAATGCCAGTTCAAACTGGCAATTATAGCTAAATGCCAGTTCAAACTGGCAATTATGGCTGATTGCCAGATCAAACTGGCAACTATGGCTAATTGCCAGTTCAAACTGGCAATTATAGCTGAATGCCAGTTCAAACTGGCAATTATGGCTAATTGCCAGTTCAAACTGGCAATTATGGCTGATTGCCAGATCAAACTGGCAATTATGGCTAATTGCCAGTTCAAACTGGCAATTATAGCTGAATGCCAGTTCAAACTGGCAATTATGGCTAATTGCCAGTTCAAACTGGCAATTATAGCTAAATGCCAGTTCAAACTGGCAATTATAAAAAAAAAAGTATCATGTCCGTTCAGCGCTTTCGTAATGTGCAAACACATATTTCCATCTGAAGGAGAATGCGAATTCTCAACTTCAGATTCCATGTTCGTCGTGGCATATAGCCAGGAAAGTAGCTGTTTGCTGTTGAATTAACCGAGAAAGAATTGATATTTTTATCACATAGAGAATGCGTGTTCTCAATGTATTTCTTCATATGTATATCCATTTTTAAACTCTTCTTCTCACTGATGAAAATTTCACACCAAACATTTCCAATCAATTTGAAGCCTGTATTTCGTATCGTTACCATAGCAACTAAACAAATTTCTTCGAAATTTTTTCCTCCTCCTTGGGGGACGAAGCATGAAATTAAACTGAACATTTTTTCACGTTTATAGGCTAAACGACATTTACATTCAACTTCAGATTATTTCGAGTTCATTCTATAAGTCAATAAATAAAAATCATTCATCAACAGTTCACCATATAATATTAGGTAGGTATACTTGCAATATAATATTTCAGTGTGAAATCTTCTTAACGAATACCACTTTAGCTTCAATCGATATCGGAGAATATTTAGAAAATTCTCCCTCGTCTCTTCGTGTTCTCGAACAAATTTCCGGAAATGATTGAAGCTCTTGTGATATTATAAATGAAAATTGAATATGGAGATTCAATTAGATGAACACCTTGTTACTTATATTTCTCTGATAACTATTTTCGAAACACAGGAACAAATACATCAAGTATTTTCCATGATTTAATGTTGAAAACGGAAGCAAATTTGTTACCAAAGCATTCAAAGATTATTGAAAAAATATTATATTTTTCCCAATACAACTCCATTCTTCTTCTCCAAATATTGTTCAATCAATTGCGATTGAATTTTTTCTTAGTATTCTATAATTGGGAAATTAATGGCAGTGGTATTTTGGAGCCAATCATCTGATTCGTCTCTACTACAGTGTTATATTGAATAAATACTGATATTTTTATTTATGGAGACGAGGAGCAAAAATTCCAAAAATTTAAATAAATGTGACATAATTATTATTCATTTTTACTCCTCAGACGATAATATAATTCATATGACGTATAAAATAGAAGTTATCTCACCATGGATAGTTCCTTCACTAGTTTCGAATAGGTCTCTATTATTCTTTGGCAGCACATACTGGTTTTCGTAATTTAAATTGCTTTCTACATAATTATAGAATTCTTCAAAACTGTCAGTTTGCAGTGACCATACCCTAGTGCATAATATAAATAATAATGATAAAATCGTTGGAATATCAAACATTTCAAATCCTCACTATACGGATCTATGAAATATGATATCAACAATGATGAAAATCTTCGTTATGGCGTCTTATAAATACATTTATGAACATAACATTCATCGTGATTCTAATTCACATAATATAAAGCAACAAAATAATAAAGTTATATAACTATTCGAATTATATTCATTTATATTACGATTGATGAAAGTTTTATGATGTATGATACATTTATAGAACTCTCTTAGAGAATGGATTATATTTTATAAAACATGGAAACTGATAAATTCAAAAATAGTTCCATTTCAACTGTTGGCTATGTCAACAGTTGATATGATTTATTCCATATTCTATGTTGTAAAATAGGGTCTTAGACTTAAGTACTGCCAACAAAAAGTAATGGTGATAATGATCAATTCTTTCTGAGAGGACGATGAAAATTCTGTAATACCAACATCCGGATATTCTTATTAGCGCATGATATCAACTCATCGATGGGGTTAAAATTTTTTTCCACAAAGATAGAAATAACGATCAGAATCTACATTTGTTCTGTTGGTAATTCACATTTAAAAGCTGTGGCAGATAACTTCATTTCAATTCATCTCTAGGTTCTCAAGTCGAACCAAGAAGTGTTTTTCTTGACACTTCATTGATAATAATATGCCAGTTTTTCTGTATCAAAGTCGATTGTTCTCAGTGGAAATGATGATTCAATTGAAACTTGCAATATAATGTCGTCTTCACAACATTTATTTTCGAATAAATACAAAAAGCTCAAATTCATGTCCACACAATGTTCATGAAATGTACAACAATAGTAGATTTTGGGAGAAAAAACAACTACTTTCATGGCTGAAGCCAAGCAGAACATTGAATTACATCCTCCCGAAATATATGCATCGACTCGTATGAACGAATACTGATAGAAGTGATTCTTTTCTGAATGCCTATTGATTTCGATTTAGCCAGGTCACGCAAGACACCTACAGACTGGTATCGAGCTCATTGACTCTCATCAGTGCAGGGCAGTCTCCAGCCAGCAGTCCTAAGACCGCCGACTAAGCGTAGCCTAGCCAAACAAAATTCAAGTCGGCATTATATTCCCCAGGGCAGTCTCCAGCCAGCAGTCCTAAGACCGCCGACTAAGCGTAGCCTAGCCAAACAAAATTCAAGTCGGCATTATATTCCCCCAGAGGCATCCTTCATAGACAATATGATAGCAACGTCATCTGTGTAGAAAAGAAGGAAAGAACCACTTCAAAACTGAATGTATTTTCATCATCAGTGGTTACTACGAGACATGTTTCAGACACTACCCAGTGAACCATTTCACTTATCTGAAACATCATCTGAAGGACCACGCGAATTTTTGAGGTGAATTGGATCCTGGTGGATTTTTCTCAAGTTTCGGATTGATGAAGTTCATGTGGTTTTCCCTCGGGTTTTCCAAACGGCAGGAATAGTGGCTTTTTCCTGCCTCTTGACAGGCAGAAAAAGTGAACTTTTACTGACTAGGCAAGAAAAGTTTGTTGCTATGCAACGTTCCAAGAAATTCTAATAAAATCAGTACCTAATCAAAATTAACAATGACATTGGGAAATAAATTCTATGTTTCACACGGCAACAAATGTAGAATGACTGCCTTGGCTGAATTTCAAGCCTCGCTACGCTCGGCTATGAACTATCAGCCGCGACAGTCAATCTACTACTTTCCTGCCTAGTAAAACAAATAACTATTCATTGAGCCAACCCCCAAAAATGGACAGTTTTTTTGACAGGAGTGTTTGAATTCACATTCTGATCGAATTGACCATTTATTTCTGAGAAAATGAACGATATTCCAAAGCTTCTTTTCCCATTCAGTTACTTCTAGGAATAATTCCTTCATAAAAAAATAAATGGGGGGAATTTATTACCCCAACCCCTATTTTGGAAACCGAAAAAAAAAAAAAAAGAATTCCATCTAAATATCAAAAGTGATAAGAAATGTTTCATCACTGATAATTATGGAAACCGCATTTTTGAATTATTACCCCCCACCAAATGGAGGGTGCAAATGGAAACAAAATTCGGTGGATTCCACTGAATTTTCGATATAATGTAGTCCATATGATTCTGATCAGAAAATCATCGGGTGACAATCCTAAAACATGGACAGTTTTTCTGCTATAGGGGGTTTTAATTCACATTTTGGGAAAAATAGACTACCATCTGATTATAACTGGAAAGACATCTTTCTTCAATATTGTATTCCTATTCCTCAATGATTTTTCATTCGGAAATATTGGGGGGGTTTTCACCCGCCCAACCAGCTTGAAACAAAATACTTGCTACCGTAAGATGCATAAGAAAATGTTTAATCACAAGAAACGGTGGGGGGTAATAATGCAAAGATGCGGTTTCCATAATTATCCGTGATGAAACTGATTCTATCACTTTTGACAGTTAGATGGATATCTTTTTAATTTTTTTTGGGTTTCAAAATAAGGGTTGGGGTTCCTATTTTTACGGAGAACCTATTTTTAGAATTAATTAAATGGAATCATAAGTTTTGGAATATCGTTCATTTTCTCAGAAATGAATGGTCATTTCATAATAATGTGAATTCAAAATCCTCCTGGCATACACACTGTCCATTTTTGGATGACTCAATGAAAATATTTTATAGAACCACATAAACTACTTTATACCAAAAATTTATTGAAATTCACCGGGACCCAATTCACCTTAAAAATTTGCTTGGCCCTTTGCGCGACATGAGACATTTCACCTATGTACAGGGCTAGTTTTATTAATGTGAACCCCCCTTCGTCTTCTTTAATTTCTATCCATTCAAGAAGATTCAAAACTGATATTTTCACGATATTCCATATTGGTTTCAATCATATTGGGAGAGTGTTGCAATATCTCTTCAAATATACATGGTAAACAGAAATATATTGATTTTTTTTTATGGAAGGCGCTGTATATTTTCATAGATGAAGATCCTTCTATAAATATGTTTGGAACCAGGACGATTTAGGGAATTCAAATTTATCGAAATATACAGGACATTTCATTTGAAAAATATATCAATTTCTGTGTACCCTAGATAAAGAATAGATATTTCATAATAATTGTCAAAATGAGCGAAATCTGTGCGAAAAATTGTATAAAATCAGTTTCGAAATTGTTTAATGGGTGGAAAACAAAAAAGATAGTGGGGGTTCACATTAATAAAACTAGCCCTCATAGGTAATTCATACATAATAATGATTGTTGTATACTGGATACTTAATTTCCTTATTTGTTCAACAGGTCATATTATTATCTCCCCGCGATCATCAGATTATCTCGAATTCTGCAGTGAATTGATGATAATTTTCTACTTTACAATGTAGACGAAAATGTTTCAATTCTGGTAGGATCGAGAATCAGATATCTACTTCAAATGTGTGGGTTATAATATCGGATGACCTTTTTTTTTTAATGAATGCCCGGCCCACTTCTGAAAGATTTTTCAAGTAAAAATGTTCACTTGATAGATGTATTGCTTTTGAACGCATTAGGTATTCAGATTTGATTACATATTCATAGTATTGAGAATATCGTCCATATCGGTACATGGTAGTATATATACAGGGTGATGTCCGCTAAAAGGAGGTCAATCAATTAACCACATATTCCGTGTGCAAAAACAATATGAGTTTCTTATTACCATTTTTCATTCAAGCCCTTCACATTCGATATACAGGGTGTCAAAGTTGGAAATTAAAAACAATTTTTTTTTCTAATTACTCGCGTATTTGATGAGATTTTGATCTCAAAATTGGTACATCACTTCAGCACAAAGAGTCACATCGTGTGAGGAAAACATAACAGAAAATAGCTGTCAAATATCCAAAATACTTGGGGTCAAGTACACACTTACCCCATATTTGTTTGTACGTGCGCTAATGACTTTCTATCTATTTTTCTTCAATTGTCCAATCATTTTTGAGTATTTTTTGTTTCCTGTAAAACTTTGATTATATCATTTGTTTTTAAGTTAATTCGAAAAGTACTGGTTATTGGCTGATGCCTATGCGGCTTACGGTAATCTCATAATGTTCACATACTCCTATTTATTTCGTCGAAATTGAAAGAGGGCGTATCTTTTTACGTACGACAAGGTAAATATGGAAATACCGGGTGCTCAGAGCAAATGTACTTAAATAATTTTTACCAAAAAAAAATCAAAAAAAGTGTAAAAATTATTTTAATACATTCGCTCTCAGCACCCGGTATTTCCATATTAACCTTTCCGTACGTAATAAGATACGCCCTCTTCCAATTCCAAAATAAATAGGAGTATGTGAATAACATTATGAGATTACCGTAAGCCGCGAGGCATCAAACAATAACCAGTACTTTTCGAATTATCTTAAAAACAAATAAGTTTATCGGAATTTTACATGGAACAAATATACTAAAAAATGATTGAACACTTGAAGAAAAATAGATAGGAACTCATTAGCGCACGTACAAAAAAAATATGGGGGTAAGTGTGTACTTGACCCCCAGTATTTCGAATATTTGACAGTCACGATGTAACTCTTCGTGCTGAAGTAATGTACCAACTTTGAGATTAATATCTCATTAATTACGCGAGTAATTAGAAACATACGGTTTTCAATTTCCAACTTTGACACCCTGTATATCGAATAAGAAGGGCGAAAATGAAAAATGGTATTCAGAAACTGTATATAGCCTCAGGCAGTTTGTAGTAAAATAAATGAGTATGACAGAGTACATACAACGTTTCTCTATATCATTTTAATTGAAACTCAATGATCCAAAAGTTTGTTTATTTTATCTTTAGCGCCGAAACAAATATCGAGAAATTCATCTTCACCCCAACAACATATATAATCTCCAAAAGTTCAAAAAAAATTCCAATACCTACCTCTTGTCCCTATCCTCCCTAGGAACGCACGATGTTCTTTGAACATCATAGGGATTCCCTTTCGTGCGCTCCAAGCGATAAAAAAAACAATATAGCTGGTGCTAGCTATAGACTTCGCCGACAGGCGACTGCTTATATCCAATGACTCCCAGGAATTGAACACCATACTCACCATACCAATCATACCCTATCAGCGGTAATCTTGTGGCGATTGATGCAAATATCGCTCCTAAAGTTCTCGTTATAAGACGATGTGCACGGATTCTTGAACAACTCATAGTTGCCAAGCACTGGCAAAGTTCGCCATTACCAATTGATGCGAATTTCCCAAAGTCCTCGTCACATGACTATGTCTATGAATATCTCATACAGCTCGTCAAAGGGTACGAGAGACATCACAATGTCCTAGAAAGATATCTTCGTGATATCATCAGGACCCCATTGTGTTGCCTGTGTCTTCTCAGTTTAGGTCAGTTGCATGTCATGTCTCAGCAGCAACTTTTCTATTCAGGCGTCATCCTGTATATTTCGTCATTCTTTCTAATTTGAAATTATATTTTGAACATGTATCACAAAGTAAAAAGGACTCTTGAAAATTCCAGTGGTTCGATCTCACAACAGATTATGTAGCAACTTGACATAGTGAGGACAACTCCTCCTATACGCTTTATTGATATCCAGAAAACTTCTCAATCGGTTTCCTCACAAAAAAATGCTTCGAAATTTTTTTGTTCGTCAAAATAAGAGTTATGTTTCTATTACTTGATGACATAAATGTTGTTTGAGGAAAAGCCTGTAAAATAAGTATGCATCATTTCAAAATTTTTGATAATTCTTCGAACCAGAATGACAGGAACGCAAAGCCAATAGGATTTAGAGCATCAATTTTGGCATTATCTCATAATGATATTCATATTTCAGTAACGAGTGTGACAACTCCAAAATTGTTCAGGATCAGAAACTGAAAAAGAAATAGGAACCGGTTGAGGCAATCGAAAGTTATGATGATATCAATTTGATCTATAAATACGATTTTACGTTGCATGTGCTGAGCAGTTTAGCCGTGCGGACAGAGTGTCTATATTCTAATTCGCATTCGCTTGCCGGTCGTGGGTTCGATTCCCGTCGACTGCAGAAATTTTTCTGATGGCCCTAGAAAGTGTTTGGAATCACACGTTAAAAGGTAAGGCCCCCGTCATTCCTTGCTCGCACAAGACCTTCGAAGACTTCTGAGGGTTGCTCGTAAGGGGGCAATCGAATGACGGATAAAACAAATTTAGAACAATTTTTAGTTATTATATTATCTAATTTCAGTTTTTGAAAATCGGTCAACAGATTCCAAATCAGGGTGTTATGAGTTGAATTCGAACACACTGTATGCATCAGGGTTATTCTATGATAATACCAATTATAATACTTCAATTTCCAAACATGCAAATCTTGTTGACAAAGCTCAGAATACATAATGAATAAATGAAAAAACATACATCTTACAGAACATGATAAATATATGGCCAATCACATATACTTGTTGGTGAAGGTAAACAAAACACAATATGAATATTTTGAATTGGTAAAACAAAATAAATTGATTATTTGATCATTCAAGCACCAGATTATCGTATTAAAGTTCTTGTGAACAATTGTATTAGGATTTGTAGTTTTCTAATTGTTATTTCTAAAATACCCAATATTAACATTGGAGAGGGCAATCTCTGAACAACTGATAGTAAACACCAGAATATGAAGTTGCAGCCCAGAATACCACATAAAAATGTTGCCAGTTCAGGAGATACTAGGTGTCTAAGAGGAAGTTTCAATTTTAAAATGTAACAATAACGCAGGGTATAACATGAAGTTGTAGTCATGTTGTAGCCATCATGTAACGAAGCTCTAAGGTAGGATACAGAGATCGCGACACACACTGTATGGCGCTGCCATCTATATTCACAGGTACAGACCCCTACCACAGATTATTTGTTAATCTGTGCTCCTACGTCTATACGCTACAGAGTGGTACTACTTGGTTTCTGTACTAACCCCACTACCTGTACACCACTCAGGTGAACATAGCTAATTCATTATCCCAAACTAATACCACGCCCTAATGACAGTGTTGTCAGCAGACCGAGAGCAGCGCCATACAGTGTGTCGCGATCTCCGCATCCTACCTTAGAGCTTTGCCACAAGATGGCTACAGCATGACTACAACTTCATGTTATACCCTGCGTCTTCGAAATGGGAGATATACCCGAAGCGGAGAGTTGTCCCAGTTGTCAGCAGACCGAGAGCGGCTGATGAGACCTCTGATGAGAACTCTGTTCATCCTAGATCTCTTATAGTTATGAGATTTAGCAGATGTAACAATAACTTTGCGAGTTCCAACAGCATGAAAGGGAAATTTTGTTGTTCGAGGTTTTCTGGCATAATTTAGTGATTGCTCATAAAGGGCAATAGTGGCACTACTGTTGTCCATTGAATGATGTATACTCTTTTTCATATTTCCTAGTTCTAACGGATTTTGATGCGTTTTTCGCTCCTGAAGAGATATGTCTTCCACTTATAACATTTTCATCATTTCGAATCATAAAGTTAGCAGAGTAATTGAAAGAAAGACATTTTGTAATTGATAGCAACAATCACAAACAACTCCAACCACAAACAGAATTGTGTGAAAGTGAATGTTCGACCAAAGTTAGTTGGGAATTTTAAAATGAAATTTTTTCCATTTTTCCTAAGCTATCAAAATTCGTATAAGGGCTTCTGTGCTGAATTTCCATATTTTGATGGATACTTTATGTAGCTTATAAATTGCCTATCCTTCATGAATCACCCTCTGTATTCACTCACCGGCAAAAAACGCCCAGTAATGAATACAGGCAATAACGAAAGTGACTCTTTCACCCTTAACTCTTCAACTTCTAAGTTACATTATATTCGGGATTGAAGTGTGATCCCTTCTTAAGACAATGGTTTCTGATTCACGTCATCATCTCATTCTCAAGGGAAGATACAAGTGTTCCAAGAAAGTATGGATTTTTGCAATTTGTATGTATGTACAATAATTCGGAACCTACATGGACTCTTCAATCAACAAATCAAAAAAAAACCTTATGTTATTTCCTGTATGATAATCAAGTCGTCAGCTTCTATAGAGAACTGAAATCTAGTCTAACCTTCTGAAATATAAATCTACAATCCCTAACAACACACGGATAACCTAGGTACGTCCCCTTTCTGTCCCGCGGTACGAGAACATGATTGGAGCATCCATCAGATGTCCCGCAGAGATTGTCCAGTGATCTTCCCCTCTGGTACATCCATAGGTTGTCCTATTCGTGTTCCTGAAATAGCTGATATCTATTCACATGGAGGAATATCGTTGGTCAAGGTGAGTTGATATATATGTTGATATATATGTGAAATTATTTTCTACTCGTAACAGAAATAGGGCATTATTTGTATTCGGAGCGAAATTTCGATAAACGATATTTCTCCATGTTATCGCCTGACATTTATCAGTAACTTACCTCTACAAACACTCCATAAGATGACCTACTATGGAAAAAAAACTCCAGAACTGGACTTGAGAAATTTATTTTCTTTATAACTGTCATAATCTCGACCTTCTGGAAAAGCTATGATCAAAATCAGAAAGATCAGGAAAAACACTACAAGTGTAGTTTTCCATTTTGTACGACACTCTTCGATCAAATTGTTAAAAAATTATTGAACAAAATACCGATGAACGTTTCCATGATTTCGAACGGGCATATTGTAGTCAAATCGTTCGACAAATGCATTAAAATCCGTGTATTATTAGAGTTCGAAAGAGGCTTCATTCGATAAAAAAAACAGGGCCGGACTTGATTTTCTGGAAGAGACCTTTGAAATATGAATATTGATAATTTCCAATTGGAATCTGCTTATACATGTGGAAATGTGGAAACATTGTACTCTATTACATGAGGAATTATTGCTTAGGTGAAAGATTTATATCCGAATCAGATATACGTGCCTACTCTTACTAAATAGTGGAACTTCTGAAGAACTATTGAATATGATCTTATTGCATATGAACTCTCTCAATTATCGAATTGAATTGTGAGAAGGCAGTGAAGTATGTAAGCAAATGGATTGAAAGAGTTATTCCATTTCAACAGGATGGGGCTTCTCCACATTACTCAATACAAGTAAGAGAATACCTAGACACCCAATTCTCTTATCGCTTAATAGGCCTTGGCGGCCCCCATACTTGGCCTAACAGTATTAGACTACTATGGAGACATATGAAACGATTGGTTTATCAGACTAAAGTCAACACCAGAGAGGAACTCAGGGAGAGGATAGTGACAGATTCAGATATGATCAGAAATTATAGGCAAGGTATTCTAAAAACCATTAGAGATCTCCTGAAGACATGCAGAAATTGTGAAGAAATTGGAGAAGAACACTTCGAGAATCTTCGTTGAAGGTTGTTCAGGTATAGACAAAGCTCGTTCGAAAATTATAATTGCTTTAATTGCTATGTAGATAATTCAATGCCTTAAGTCGATTGTAGAGAGCGAGTAATGTGCCTGGACGAAATCGAAGAAATACTCATCAGTAATTTGTTTGAATTTTTTTTCAATCGGTCAAAGTGTGTCGTACAAACTGAAGAGCTGCACTTGTAGTGTTTTTCTTGATCTCTCTGATTCTGATAAGAGTTTTTGAAAGATACGATCCAGAAAGTCAAAATTATGACATTTATAAAAAAATTAATTTTCCAATCCCGTCTCTGGAATTTTTTTCCATAGTAGGTCATCTTATGGAGTGTTAGTAGAGGTGAGTTGCTGGTCATTTTCAGACGGTAACCCCGAATTCAAATAATGCCCTGTATTTCTGTTACGAATCGGCAAAATATATTTTTTCACATAGGGCTATGGCTGGTTTGTCATGACTCACCCTGCATATTAGGGCGGTGGTCCTCATATTACAAATCAAATTGAAATTTCTATTCGAGTTTCATTCTGTCAACTGAAAGAATCATGTTTCAATAAATATTTCAACATTCTACTGTAGAATTGATATGAAACGAAATTTACTTTACTCCATAATGAATCTTGATGACATCAGATATTTTTTCCGCAATCATATATGTAACTGCATTAGTATGCCCCCTTACAATATTAGGTAGAACTCCTGCATCTACAACTCTCAGTTTTTTCATATTATGCACTACACACTCGTCATTCACAACAGAGTCTTCGAAAGAACGTCCCATCCTGGTTGTTCCCACGGGATGATAAATTGTTGAGGTCGCATGCCTGATTGCACAGTACCAATAATCTCTATCCAAAGGACTTTTTCTTAGTTCTTCACATCCAGGATGAGTACTCATGAGAGTTGCATTTATTTTCTTGAAAGCTGGTGTTTCTGTGAAGCTCAAAAAGAATTTTATACCTTGATACATTGTTTCAATATCACGCCCTTCGGGGTCAGAAAAATATTTCACATCGATCAAAGGAAATTCCAACATACTATTTGTACGTAAAGTAACTGATCCCTCAGACTTGGGTGTCAACAAGATTACGCCAGTCCAAAAATCAGTGGTTGTATTGTATTCCTGGAAAACTCGTGCATAATCATTATTGGTATGGTAAACGTGTGGGGGAAGATCTAAAGGTGGAGGTGTCAAGATATACTCTATATCTGGAGGGCTCTGCGTGATATTTTTCGTATTTATGAATGCTATAAGCTCCAATCCATAATATCTGGTGAGGGGAGTCTCTCCCATCAAGTATCTATGGAGGTTTTCTCTCAAAGTTGATTCCGTTGCTGTTAGATTACTTCTGAAAAAAAGGTTGATGTAATACGGGTGATCCTTCAAATGTTTTCCTACGGCTGGTAGATCATTCTTGACTCTTATGCCCAGTTTTGATAGTACTTTCAATGGTCCAAGTCCAGATATTAACAACAATTGGGGACTATTAATACTTCCTGCTGACAGTATCACTTCTTTTTTTGCTTTTACTATGTATCTTTTTCCTCCTTGTATATATTCTACACCATATGCAACTTTGTGTTTCACTAGTATCTTTACAACGATGGCATTCAATTTAATATGTAGGTTCTTTCGAGATACTTTGATGGGATCAATGAATGCGCGGGAACCACTGGATCTCTTATTGAAATTTATGTTGAACTGAATCTTCGATACACCCATTTGATTCCGACCATTATAATCTACCTCTTCCAGTCCCTTTTGTCTACAAGCTTCTATGAACGGATCTGCTATTATCGATGGTGTTACGGTGTAGTTCACATGGAGAGGTCCACCAACGCCATGGTATCCAACATCATACCCGGAAATATCGATGTGTTCTGATTTTTTGAAATATGGGAGTACATCTTGATAAGACCATCCAGAGTTTCCTAAAGCTTGCCATTCATCGAAATCTGCATAACTACCTCTTACATACATCATAGCATTGATTCCACTGGATCCACCAAGAACTTTGCCACGCGGATACTGGCATTGCTGATTTTGCATTCCTGGAAAAGATGGATGATTGAATCGAATGATATGGATGAAAGTTCCTGGCTAGGTGGGATTCAAACCTTACTTTGTTTCTGCTTATTCATTCTTTACGAAGGATTGATTTGAGGGTGTTTATTGGGAAGCTGCAAATTGAAATGAACTGCCCCACAATAAAATTGAAGTGATACAAGCAACAAATTCCTATTATGTTCAAACCGTCATAACATTATAGGGATTCCCTTTCGTGCTTCGTGCTATAAATAGTGATCTGGGAGGCCAATATATCTTTTATTGAATCATATTTTTTCTGTTGCATTTGTATCAAGAACACATAGTGTCTTTATCGACTAACATCTCTTGAGATCGTCTCAATGCCAAAAAACTATAGTAGAAAGTGAAATTAACAATAATGATGATTTCCATAATTCCATCAAATTATGTTCAATCAAAATATGTTCATCAAATTATGTTCAACAGTAGTACTAGTATGGGTATAAACATTGATACTTGATCTCTACCGGTAAATGATTGTGTATATTTGTTATCGTTGGTGAAGGTGATGAAACTCATTTCATTAGGTTCATAGTATATGTAATCGAAATATGCAGTTTATCTCAGAAACGGATTGCACGATTTTTATAGAATCTTTTACTGCACCAGTTTCGTTAAACTTTTCACTAATTTACTGACAGTAGACCTTGTTATGATATTTCTATTAGGATATAAGTTATCAAAGATTATTCGAATTGAACGAGTTTATTCAATCATAGCCATCAAACTGTATTATTTCAACTTCGGCGAAGATAATGTAAATGTAGCTATAACTCCGAAATCATAGCATAGGTATAGGGAACATGACATGAAAAATATTCAGTATTTCTCAAGAATTTCAAAAAGCAAAAAATATACAGGGTGATCCATTTGAAATAACAAAGTTCATTATTATTACGGAAAAAGGAGAGATCTGACAACAATGTAAGTACCACCATAATATTGGCCGCATCACAGGACCCTTGCACACCAAAATCTATAAAAATCGTGCGATCCGTTTCCGAGATAATTGAGGCGTTCCATACATAAAACTCACTCTTTATATTGGGAAAAAATCGGTGCAATATAACGAAAATATCGGCAAAATATTGTAAACGTAATATTGACGAGAAACAAAATGTGATCATTTGGCGATATCAGTAAAATATAAGTTTCAAAATGTGGGTGCAATATTGAGAATCAGCATATTGCAATGTCGTTTTGAAAACATTGGTGAAATATTTTCACACCATTATTGATTGAATATTCGTAGAAATATATTGGTCATAAAATTGTTGTATACCTACTGCGACTACAAATTCTTGTTAGATTATCTACAGGCTACAGGCTACGGAGATATAGCTGATTTCAACTTATTTGTTGCGTTTTATTCATCCGATTCCGCCACCGAAATCACTTCAATGTGTGGTTTTATTTGCGACTTCTGGTGTGGAATGACTGTTGACAGTTGTCAAAATATGAAATCAGATTGACGAAGAACGAAACTAATTGAAAGTAGAAGAAATTTAGAGGACATTATCATCGTGAGCTTTACAAGTTCATGATTCTTTCAAGTGAGACAGTTTTCATGTCTTCATTCTCAGATAACATGAATTCTCCCTCATATCTCAGAGAACTTTCTCCAATTACAAGAATCACTGCTCCAAATATGCGTTTCGATTCATTTCCTGGAGTTTTTACCTCTAGTTTTATGATTATGTGATTATTCGGAGCCCTAATTTGTAAATATAAGCTCTATCATCTATGGGTTGCGTGCAAAAACTGTCAGATGACCGACCCTGGAGGCATAACATTGAAACACAACCTCACTTTTCTTAGTTGTTTACAGGTGATTGGAATAGTTATTCACAATTATTTTGGCATAGGAATCGTATTTGTCGGCTATTCATTAATTCGCTCATGCCATCACATTGTGTTGTTGTAAAATGCACAAAAACTGCAGTGGAAAACGAAGGAATCCGGTTGGTACATTATGATTTCAAAGTAAGTACCAACTATAGTCACTCACATATAGTTTTCATTTTTGAAATTTGGTAATTCCTCTGACTTCTCATCGGAATTCCTTCTGCAATAGGAGCTAATAGTTAATACTAGTGAAATTTCTAAAATAATGCAAGAAGATTGGATTCATGCAATCAAACGGAAGGACTGGTCTGACATATGCTGTATTAGCTTGGATTGCAGAAGTGGCAGAAGGAATGTCAATAAAAAATGACAACTTTTCATAATGAAAACTGTGTGAGATTACTATTCACCTGAAAAATCATATTATTTCGTCTCTTGCTGCATTTTTTGTGCATTGTACAACAGCACAGTGAGAAGACATGCTTGAATTGATAAATTGCGCAAAAACCACGATTCGTATGCCAAAATATTGTGGAAAACTATTTAGATCCTTCGATTCCTCTGTAAACAAATAAAAAAAGTGAGGTTGTGTTTCAATAATTCACAGAAAAGTGAGAGAACCTAACCTAACCTAACCTCACTTTCCTCTTGAAACATAACCTCATTTTTTTCATTTGTTTACAGAGGAATCAAAGGATTGAAATAGTTGCTGTACCTATATGTATGCCAAAATAGTTGTGGAAAACTATTTCGATCACTTGGAAACAAATAAGAAAAGTGAGGTTGTGTTTCAATGTTTCACCTCGGTGATCTGACAGTTCTTGCACGCAACCCATAAAATGTCAATTCTCTAATGCCAGGTCATGAAGTTTTCTGTTTTATTTGTAAACGTCACTCTGTTCCCACCACCCTTACCAGAATGGAACGAAGAAAACGCAACTAATTGCTCCATGCATGAGTGGCACGCAGAGGTCGACTCGAACCGGTAACTCCGCCAGAAGAAATGTCTCCCTCACCCTCATGGAGCATGTTGAGAAATCAAACAGCTATATCTCTGTAGCCGTAACCTCCTCAAAGTTGGTTTTGTTGCATTCGTCATCATAATCCTCAACCGGTCATGGAATAAAATACATATTTGAAAATCGGAAGTTGATACTCATTTCTCGTCAAGGTTTGGACTTTGGGATATGATAACTAATAATAGAAATATGTGTCCGTTGTCAGATTTCCAGCGTATGTTTCACATCTACTGTATCATTACCCGGAACCCTCATGTCATGTTTACGATGGGACACCTTGTATATATACTCACTATAATACCAAAAATGTCAAATCCATTAGGGCACTCTACTTTCCGCAGGAGTCTTACCTAAACAGCATGTTTTCTGAGAGGTGGTGTAGTATCCCCAATTCATTGTTCTCAAATTGGGTCCAAATCCAGGAATATCGCTAAATGAATTTTCATCACCTCCTGCTTCTAATAGGAGAATCTTCCACTTCTTTATTTCAGAGAGTCGACTTGCTAATACTGTTCCAGCTGATCCACCGCCCACGATGATGAAATCGTAGGATCCTAGAACTTATTCAGAACTCTTTGTTACTATATTACGCCAATTTACGCATAATTTCTGAAACATTTACAGCCATTTTAGTCCAACCAATGACGGCCAAATATGTAGTGTGCTCATGTGTAAAAATCAATTCCCATTGATGGATTCCAAAACAAAACTCGACCATTCTTGTTGTGACGCATCGGGTAGTAAACTTCATCCTCAGGAGGAAAAGTAGTACTATCCTCCCTAGTTTTCTAGATTAGGTACATTCAGAAAATGAATGTATCGTTCAACTACATTAAAGACATTCATCAAACAAAATTTGTTCCTGAAGTTGCACCATGGGAAATGGAACGTTCTCCTCATTCATTTTTTATGCATAATGGAAATACGTTCTCGTGATTATCTGCCGTGTAATTATGGAACAGTCTATACAGGTTATGTCACGACGAGCTTACACTATCTTTATATCGAGAATCAATTGCGAGAAATCCATGAAAATGTGCATGCTTATATCTCAGAATACGCTCTTTTCATTTAAAATATTTTCGACAATGCAGTGTTGCCGCTTTTCTAGAAAGTAGTAGCAACATTGATATTTCAAATAGACCACCCTGTATCTTATCGCATTTTCAGATTTTCTCTGAAGAGCTGATTTTATCGATGTATCACACATTGGGTCTATCAAGAAAGATCACAGAAATATAGGGTGTTCAAAATCGAGATTTTTCAACATAAGGAATTTTTTGTGTCGAAACTATTCATTATTGGTCGAAACGACTCACATGTCACTATCTCAACTTTTGATTCACTATTTATTCATATTCAATCGGAACAGATACAGGGTGGTTTGAGATTCAGAACTCTGATCACCCTGTATCTGTTCCGATTAAATATGAGTAAATAGTATATCAAAAGTTGAGATAGGGACATGTGAACCGTTTTGACTGATAATGAATAGTTTCGACACAAACAAATCCTAAAGTTGAAAAATCTCGATTATGAACACCCTATATCTCTGTAATCATTTCTGATAGACCCTAAGTGTGACACATCGTTGAAATCAGCTTGTCAGGGAGTTTTCAAAAATGGAATAAAATACAAGGTAGTCTACTTGAAATAACAAAGTTGTTACTACTTTTCGATAGAAGCGGCAACACTGCATTGCTGAAATCATTTTAAATGAAGAGAACGTATTGTAAAATATGAGCATGTATATTTTCTCTCGACTGATTCTCGATATAGAGATAGTTAGTGTAAGCTCGTCGTGACATACCCTGTATACTCATATCGAAGAAAGGTCTGAATTATGAGAAAGAAATTCTGAATTGGGAGAAAAAAATCTGAATTCATAGGAAGAAGGAGGAATTCAGACATAAAATGAAATTTCATCAAAATTCACTGGGGAAAACTTACTCGACAGACCGATTTCAACAGAACTGTAATCTAATCATGTTCAGATGTGAATATTGCTAGCCAGATACAAGTTTCAGGTTCTTCAACATGAGACAAATAAATGTGTAACTCATTTTGAGATTACTCATAGAGGGCGGTAGTGGCACTTTGTTTCCTCGGGGTATTGCGTCATATCTAATGTTTTCATTGAATGATGTTAAAAATGATACAAAAATCTGAAGGTCCCTTCAATTTCACGTGAAGAATATACCTCTTTCAAATTGTCTATAGCTTCAACAGATTTTGCGTTATTCAATCCAATTCTCTACTCCAAAATCTGCTTTGAATTGCGATCGGAAACAAGGGTGACTGATCTCTGCCTCTGCTATCCCAGAAAATACGTTTTCAAGTCCTTTGAGACACAGAAGAACTATGCAGAACATCAGTGGAAAAACATTGAACGGTTTGTCCTCTGGTTTGACTCTAAATTTTTAAAAATTTTGTTCTGAAATTTGTTCAATCCGTCATTCGGTTGCCCCCTTACGAGCAACCCTCAAAAGTCTTCGAAAGTCTTGTGCGAGCAAGGAATGACGGGGGCCTTACCTTTTAACGTGTGATCCCAAACACTTTCTTGGGCCATCAGAAAAATTTCTGCAGTCGACGGGGATCGAACCCACGACCGGCAAGCGAATGCGAATTAGAATATAGACACTCTGTCCGCACGGCTACCTGGCCACTCTAATGTATATGAATGAATGAAACACAGAAGACAGAAGAAATTGATGCGGATGGAGTGGTAGATATACAGAGAGAAGTGCACGAAAAACGGCCACTGCTGTTAGTTCTGGATAATTCGAGGGATTCTGAAATCTGATGGGTTAGTGAGTATACGAAATTAATCATTCATCTGCTGTGTTTTGCTGTCTTTATTGAATATCGTATCCACAAATATAAATAGCGTCCCTCGATTATTGTATTTCTCAATTCTCAAACTGCTCTCGACATGAAACGTCATCTATGTATACCTTGATCATACGGGGTGATATTAAACTAATAAGTGTTGATCACATTAAATAATTAAACATAACAATTTATTGACAATAAAATATTAGTTTCATCGCTTGCGGTTGAACCGACAATAACCCCAACTTCTGATTATCAAATAGGACATCTGTATATTTTGTACAGAAGTTCTTTCTGTACGTTAAATGATCTCCTGAATCGAAAATGGCAAATATACAGGGTAACTCATTGAAAAATCAAAAGTTCGGATTACTTCCGGTTCAACCAGTATAATGATAAAACCAATATTTTCTTTCATTGAATGAACAATTTCGTATACTTGCTGCTCACCAAATTTTCAAACCCGATCTAAAATAATTCAGCACTGGCCGTTTCTTATGCACTTATTTGTGTTGAAATATTGTTCTTTTCAAGCTGAATCATTCGTTGAAACAAGATGAACCCTGCTGAGTGACGTTAAGTCAGAATAGAAATATAGAAACTATCAGTTATTTTCTACAACGTTATGCAAATATAGTCTTCCACACTGAATGAATGTTCATTTATCAATGAGAATAAACTTCAATAGGTTATGGGCCCAGTTTACGCTAGTTAGTACTAACTAAATAGCGTGTGCGGAAAACTGCGGAAGAAATCGTTTTCCGGTGTAAATTACGTTGAAGTTAATTTTGATTGTGAAGTCTCGTCGTCTTGGCATTCAGAATATGGAGTTGGAGAAACACGTCAACCTTTGGCTGGAAAAGGAGATTGGCCAATTTGGAACTTGTTAGACTACCACGAAGGAGCCGTGGATTTTATAGAGGGAAGGTTAGTAAAACCAGAGCCCTTGGCAGCAGATGCAACGGATAACCGAATCAAAGAGCATAAGAATGCAATTATTATTCCGTCATGCCAATAGTTATTCGAACTCAATAATTTTGAGTTCAGTAACCTACTCAGTATATCAAAAGATAATGGATAGTGACACAGCGCATGAAGCATGGGAAGCTCTGAAATTTTGAAGCGTCATCCAAAGATCGACTCTTCAAAATATGAACAGAATTTTTTGCGTTCAGTTGGATCAATGGACAGGATGTTTCGACCCACCCTGCAAAATTTAGAAGCCTCTGGAATGAGCTCAACAACGGTTTAAGATCGAAGAATGAAAACGCACTACCGGATTCAATCCCAGTATGCAAAGTTTTGCCTATACTATATACCAGTTGATTTCGAGAATTCCAGATCCGGTTGGATGTTATTGTCGAAAAGTGGTGAAAAAATTGTCGAGGACTCACCCAGTTGTGTAAGAGATTGTTGAAAAGTAGCAGATAGTGTCATCAAAGAGGATGCATTATTAGTGAAAAATGGAAAATCAAAGCCACATCGCAGGTCAAAAGCAAATGATACTTGCAAATGTTACAAAAAAAAAGGGTATTGGATCACTACATGTCCGCAGTGCATTGCAGACCGAAAGCTTTCACGAAAGAACGTTTCCCCACAGAAAATAGCTGTTCCGAGCAATGTACTGAATTCCAATGTAGCCCTATGTTGTATTAGTGAAGTCCAAGTGGACACAAGTTCAACAGGATGGTAGATTGACAACTGAGCCGTTACGAATTGTCCGGATCAGTTTGTCGATTTCCAAGAGTTTCAAAGTTCCTGTATCATCAAAGCTGCTGGAAAAGAAGCTCTCAAAGCTATTGGAAAAGGAACGATAGAGATTGCATCTCTCACTGGAGACAATACACTAAGAATGACTCTGAATGATGTATGGTATGTTCCGAAAATTTCGAAAAATTTGCAGCTCAAGACAGGAATGGAAGCAGCAAATTCTGGCTGGAGGTTAATGGAAAAACGGTATCATCTGGGAGTCGTCAAGTTGAAGGAACCCTGTACAGGGCAACCAATGAACCAGTGATACCTGAGAAAGTAGAGAGGGTCAATACAATTGAAACAGAAAACTCCACACTGCAGCTTTATCACGAGAGATGGGTTCACCAAGACAAACGATACGTGAGATACATGCTCAAAAGAGAATTGGGTATCAACGTGAAGAATGTTTGGCAAATACACCGTTTACCTTTTGGCACTAGGATGAAATCAACGGAACCAGGAGATCTAGTTTCAACTGATGTTCAGGGTCATTTTGCAAATCCTTCTGTAAAAAACGATATATAGTAGTATTTGAAGACAGTTAGACGAGGTATCGATTTGGTTTCATAATTGAGCATGCATAGGTCAAATGTTAAAAATGTATTGAAACAGTATTTATCATATGCAAAGATACTAGGGAACAACATTCGTGAGCTACTTGGTGACAATGGAGGGGAATTCAATTGTGAAGATGTTAAAAACATTCTTGCAGAGAGCAGAATCGTGCATAGACAGGCAGAGCCATATACGCCACAGCAAAATGACGGCAGTGAGCGTGATAATCGCAGCATAGTAGAGATGGCAAGGACTTTCGAATAGTCGAATTATGAAATTGAGTTTTCAGTTGCGATATGGGCAGAGCTAGTGACTTCAGCCTTTTACATCCTGAGTAGAACAGGAAAGTCATCAGAAGTAGGAGTCAGTCCCTATGAACTGTGAATAGTACCTTGGATGTACCTGTTTCCTCCACATTCCAGCTCAGAGAAGGAAGAAGATGGACAGGAAAGCAGTGGAAGGAATCCTTGTCGGATATGATGTTGATGGGCGTTATAGGATTTTTATTTCGGCCAACCACAAAGTAATCCTTTCAAGAGACGTTAGATTCCAAGGAAATTGAGAGAATGTGATAATGAAGTCAACCTACCAATGAATGATACTGATGACCAGATAGACATCGAAGGAGAAGAACATGATACTGAGGAATTAGTCGATAATGAATGCGATTTGCAACAGAGATCCGGAAGAATTTTGAGAGATCGATCGATTTTGAATAAGCCTAAACATCTAGAAAATTACATTATAAAAGCGGAGGAGTTTAGAAATCAAGTGACAGATGATCCTGAGACTATTGAAGATGCTTTAGAGAGTGAGGATTCAAGTGGAAGAAAACCATCGATCGTGAACTTGCCTCATTGAATGAGAATGAGACCTGGATTTTGTCAGATCTTCCACCAGGTTCGAGAGCAATTCCATGCAAATGGGTCTTTCGACTCAAAAGAAACCCTGGCGGCAGAATCAATGAGTACAAAGGTAGACTAATCGTCAAAGGATTCAGTCAGCGTCACGGAACTGATTACCGAGAAACTTTCCGTCCAGGTGCTAAGATGGGAACAATTCGTTCAATTCTAAGTATCACAGCAAGTGGAAAGATGCATTTGGTACAGTTCAATGTATCACCAGCGTTTCTCTATGGAGAACTCGAAGAAACAATATTCATGAAACAGCCACGAGGATATGAAGACGGAACCAGCAAGGTATGCCAACTAAAGAGGAGCCTCTACGGACTCAAGCAAGCACCTAGATGCTGGAATAAGCATCTTGGAGTCGTTCTTAAATAACATGGATTCAAGGCCAGCGATGCTGATCCATGCTTGTACATTTGAGATAGGAATAGTTGAAAACTCTCCCTTGTGATATACGTGGATGATGGACTTCTAGCTGCGACAGACCTACGAGAATTGGAGAAAAAAAAAACGAATAAATTTTGGGACTTGAAATTGAACAAGAACAAAAGTTCATCAGAATTTGTAGAAAGTCACATGCAAAGAAAGTTCCACAGAGGTTCAATTTTTCAGAATGCAAAGCAGTTTCTAAACCAATGCTCAAGTGTGCAGAAATTTCTCCAACAGGGAAAGTTGTCAAGGCACCGAACTTTCCTTACAGACAGGCTGTTGGAACAATAAAGTATATGATGCTTAATACAAGACCTGATCTAGCATATAGTGTGAGATTTATTTCAAGATCTCTCGACAATTCAAATCAAGAGGTCATTATACGGGTCAAGAGAGTTTTAAGATACAATCGCAGGGACCCAAGACCTTGGAATAATGTATTGCCCAAACACGGATGTAGGAATCTTAGAAGTCTTTAGCGATGCAGATTTTATAGGATGTGTGAAAACAGGCCGTTCAACTTCTGGAGTCGTCGTGAAGTATTCATGTGAAGCAATATCTTGGCTGATCCAACGACAATCAGTTGTAGCAACCTCACCAACTGAAGCAGAAATTACTGCAGCAAGCGAGGGAGCCGAAGAAGCGATTTGGTTAGACAGGCTATTCAGAGGAATCATAGAACTAAAAGATGTCCCCATAATCAAAGTTGACAACTCCGCAGCAGTGAGACTGGCTTCACCGCAGAACGAATTCGAGAGAAAGTGGCAGAAGTTAAACTTGGTGTTCAACCTACAGAACATCAAGTAGCAGACATAATGACAAAAGCATCAACAAGAATACGCCACGTGATTTTTTGTGTGAAGATGGGCCTTATGTGAAAAAATGTTGAGGAAGATTGTTTTTAATATTCCTGATTAGTTTGAAAATGCAATAAGAATGAACCAGGAGGAGTGTTGAAGTATTGTTCTTTTCGAGTTGAATAATTCTTCAAAACAAGTGTATTCCTAACACTCGTAGTCGTAGATGAACTCTGCTGAGTAACGTTGAGATAGGATTGAAATATAGAAACTGTCAGTAATTTTCTGGAACAACGTTATGCGAATATAGTCTTCCACACTGAATGAAGGTTAATTCAATAATGAGAATGAACTTCATTAATTCGTATTTAAAATGAGAAACATATAACAGAATAATTTTATAATAAGTTTGCATATTTGCTACGTGAATATCAATGTAAAATGTTTCGTCATTCAATTTATTTCCCTTCTTCCTCCTCTGCCACTACTAGAACTTTGCTTCTTCAGAGCTTTTCCTTTTTCAATACTCAAAAGTCAGAACTACATAATTTGATCGTTTTAGTTGTGTATTCTGGCGTTGATTTGATTATTTATGGCATATGGCAAAAAATATGGTATCCCAGACAGCACAGAATATTTTATGAATATTCTATGAATTCTGAAAACGTTCAAATATACTCATTTCAGAATATTCTCATGAAATGTTCTCAGAATGATCATGAAATATTCTCATTCTCAGAATATTCTCATTCTTTTCGAATATTCTGAGAACATTGAAAATCGTTTCAAAATATATGATAATTATGTTCCTATTTTTTTATCAATATTTATAATGTTTTTCCTGACACAACCTATTATTCTCTAGCTTCAATGCTGATCATCCCACTGATATAGTGTTGTCATCTTGCTATTCATTTTATTCATCGATAAGGTTCGTGGCGAAGTGGTAAGATTTTAGGTTCGTATAATTTCAATCACAAGATTAGTAGAGAAGTAAGTTCGCATCTCCACCGAAGCAAGCTTTTTTAATATTCTTCCTTCTCATTCAGTATACTAGGAATATCTCAGAATATTTGAAACAGTCCATTCCGAATGTTCATAGAACCTCCGTAGAATATTTGTGAGAATATTCTGAGATTATTCAAATATTCTTTAAGGATATTCTATATACGTTTTGTGAATGACATTGTGCTATCTGGAAACCAGTGATGATAATAAAGCTACTTATTCGTACTCGCTTTTCATCGAATAGCACTCCAGGCAAATTCTGATAAGTTTTCCGATCACAATAGCATTTGTCTTACCATGAATAGTTCCTTCACTAGTTTCAAGTAATTCTCTATTATTATTCGGCAACACATAGCGATTCGCGTATTCCAGATTGCTTTTTACATAATTATAGAAATCTTCAAAACTGTCATTTTGCAGTGACGATACCCTGGCGGTACAAAATAATAATAATGGTAGAATCGTCAAGAAATTGAACATTTCAACTCCTATATACCTAGGTAACTAATAATGAAACTCGACATCACGTCGACTAATAAAAACATTCATATCTATGCTGATAAAGTTTATCAACATTTTAATTTAAATAATATATTCTCATTAGTGACTAGCAACAAAATAATATAGCTAACGATTTAAATCATGAATAATATATTTTTCCACATTTCGATTGATGGAATTGTTGATGATGACTTTTCAGAGTGGGCTTTATGAAAGTTCTGTGAAACCAACGCCCGAATATCCACATCGTTATAAAACATCCACTATGCTCAATGGGGTTTCAGAAATATTCCAATGTCGAAAAAATTGTCAGCATCAATAAGTTCTACTGGTAATTTACATAAAAAACTGAGACGGGTAATTTTGATTCAACTTCGGCAACTTATTTCTAGAGTCTCAGCTTTAACGCAAGACTCATCTTCTCCTCTTCTCATTCATATATCTCGAATATCTTAGGTAGAAGTCTAACGAATTGAATGATGCAACTGGAACAATAATGATGTCGACTCTACAGTATGTTTCAGATACCCCAGATAATCATTTTTTCTACTCACATAACTAAAAGGGCATTTAGCGTACGGATACATACCACGCTATAAATAATCGATTAATCACGGATTGACGATCTGTGATTTATTCGAAATATTAAACACGTTACCATGGCAACACGATTTCTTAAACACATTACCATGGCAACACAGTTCATTAAACACAGCTTCAGTAATTTGAAACATGTCTGGCCTGTCAATAGTATTAACTGTCAAATGTCATTTTCGAATTTTGTATCAGAATTATTCAAACAATTTTCGTTTGTATCAGAATTTTCCATTCATAATATATGCGAAATGTATAATGAGAATGTGAAATCGAAGAGAATGTTTTGGTACTTGCGTATCTCCAAGAAGTGTAAAAAATGAAGCATCCATCTTTGAGAACAGTTTATTTATTCTGCGCTAAGCATGGCAATAAACGAGAAACAAAGGTTATAGTAAGGAATGGACTGGACACATCTACAACCAATATCACTTATACGTGTCTCGCTGGTTGCATGCATCAGTTGCATGTATTATGTTCTCAATTCCTATTCCTTTCGAATTATTTTGTAGGTTAGCAGGAATAGCAGGTATGTTAATGTAATTTTAGGAGTTCGTAGAAAAATCATAGTAGGTATGTAACGCGTTTATAAACTCTTCTAGACACTCGTTTATGAAACACTCGCTCCGCTCTGCTTCGCTCGTGCTTAAAATACTCGTTACTAAAAGGACGTTTATAACACTTTTTACATATAATATACTATTTCCTACAACTACTATTGTAAGAAATGGATATTGTTCACAGAACAATGTCAGTAATATTCTCCATACGCACAGTGTGCGTAAAGCGAGCAATCGCACGGTTTTTATAGTTATGTTGATAGATGACTTTGTTTTGTTGCTATAAAGCCGATAACACCGTCTGCGCACAAGAACTCGAGGTTACGTAAATTACTAAACAACCACTAAATTCGCATTTTCAATCAATCAATCAACTTTATTATTCCCAAGAAACAACATTTGTTTATTGCTGGGAACATAGTGAATACATAAATATATTTGAAAAAATAAAATGAAAAAGACAGTAAAATAAGACTCACACTCAAAAAGAATCTTTTTTTTTCAAGTTCAACTGAAAATGATTCTCAATTGACTCAGCTGTTAGGTACCCAATTGAATACTATAGTAGTTGTACAAGGAAACTATAAAAATGAGATAAGATGTCAATATTACAGGAGTAGATGTTTCTTGAATTCTCTCTTAAATTTTTCAATCCTATTAATCAGCTCCAAGTTATTTGGTAGTGAATTGTATTGTATCATTCCATTGTGATAGCTGGATTCTTTACTAATATCTGATTTAATTTTCTTGACAGAAAAATGATCTGCTTGTCTGGTTGTATGGTTGTGGTGTTTACTATTGATTTGGAAAACCAAATTTGAATGCTTTTGACAATGTTAAACTGAATGAATGAACGTCATTAATTTGAATTTATATAGTGAATCTATATCTAATAATTGTCCCAGGACAAAGACACAGTAAACTGATGGTTGGAACACTGTCCAAAACAGTGACTAACGAGATTCTGAGCCTAAACAGAAGTCAGATCAAACAAGTGACGGGACTAATAACCGGTCACTGCCCCTTGAGGAAACATATGCATCAAATGGGCATCCATACAGACGAACCCATATGCAGACTTATGCAATGAGGAGGAGGAAACTGCCACCCATGTAATATTGGAGTGCGAAGCACTAGCGCGTTGGAGATACAACCTTCTGGGAGCAGTAAACTCTCAAGAGGCATTTTCAAAGAATGATTTGGTGAAGAGGCTGTTAAATCTCATCAAGGTAGCAAACCTGTTCACCTAAGTCAACAGTATGATCAGGAATACAATAGGCCCAAAGGCTGCAGTGTTTTGGGCTTCAAACCCAGACTGATCATTCTGCTATTAATCAATCAATCAATCAATCATATCTAATAATTCTCTCCTTCTGTAAAGGTTCATAGTAGGTTCCGCATAATTTAGTCTGTATATACATTTTATAATTTTATTTTGAAGAGTTTTGAGAGGCTTTATAATTGATAGTTTTGTTGAGCCCCATACAGAAATATCAAATATTCAAGTTTAGAATAGATCAAAGAGAAGTATATAGATTTGAGACATTATATAGGAACTTGATTCGGTACCCTAAAAAGTATACCTTTTATTGGAGATATTTGTTTCCTAAGTATTTCAATATGTTTTGACCATGAAAAATGTTCATCTATGTACAAACCAAGAAACTTGATATAATTTGAATATTTGATGACTTCATTATTACATGCAATTGGGAATTTGTACTCATTATATCTTGATTTTTTTGAAATGATCATAAATGCTGATTTACTATAATTTATACTCAATTTATAACATGATAACCATGATAATAATATTTTCAAATCACTTGAAATTTCATCCCTAATTTGTTTCGCTGAACCTGCTGAATAGATTAAGGTTGTGTCATCGGCAAACATATAAATTTTACGTTTCAACTTCAAATTTGCAATAGAGTTGATATAAATAAGAAATCGCTCTTACTGAATGATTCTCTTAAATAAACGAATTGTCTCCTATCACTCAAATAATTTTGAAACCAGTCGTAGACAGGACCTCTTAGAATACAATACAATTCATTCAAGAGAATTTCATGATTTACAGTATCAAATGCCTTTCTTAAGTCAATTGATAGGAGTCCACATATCTTGTTTGTTTCTAGTTGCAATTGGAAATCTGTTACAACATCCATAATTGCGGACTCAGTATCACATGACCCTCGAAAGCCATATTGCTGGCTGTAAAGATATTTCTTTGCCTCTAGATATTCTTGCAATCGGTAATTCATTACTTTTTCTATAATTTTGGAAATAACTGGTAATATTGAAATAGGTCTGTATATAGTTCTCCATTTTATCTCTCTGACAAGTTTTGTGAACTGGTCTGACAGATATTTGATAACTTCAAAAGAATGATAAAGATATGCCTACAACGCAGGTTCACTCCACACTATTTTACCACTAACCAAACCGATTCTTTAAATTTTTTCTTTAAAATCAATGTTATAATATTTGTCATTTAATTGCGAGTTTAATTGTTTATATCATGAAGAATGGGTGAAGGAAAAACTGAACTTCAGGTTACTGATAAGTATTCGATATCCGAAATGAGTTTCACTCGAGTGAAGTCATATAACCTGTTTGTGAAAGATATAATTTCCATATCACTGATACGAATGTTTTTTTTTTGGAAGTTCCAAGCTCATCAAGATCAGAGTTCATACAAGTATACTTCTCCTATACATTTCAATATTGAACATGTTGGTGATTTATATTTTTGTATCATAATACATTATATAATTCTATTCGATTCGAGAGATAATGTCAATGCTCAATTTCAGAGGATTTTGATTTTTCATGCTCTCTTTTTGGATATTCAACAGATATATTTCAATGTTCGACGTATGGCAAATAGCCAGAAATGTAGTTGTTTCCTGTTAAATATTCAGAATGATATCATGTGCATATCTTTACATGAAGTAGAATGCAAATTCTCTAGTTCAGAAGATTTTGTTTTTAACTTTTATAGTGTGTTCAATAGATGTAATTCAATATGTTCGTCGTGGCATATAGCCATGACAGTAGTTGTTTTCTGTTGAAAAAACCGAGAAAGAATTAATATTTATTTCATAAATATATATCTGAGAATGTTCCTTTTCGATTTTTTACACCTCGACACATGTTTCGCTAACTATGTTAGCATCTTTAGCAGGTGATTAAGACTAAATGCTCTCTTCTAGTGGGCTACTTATATACTGAGTAAATGTCCACCCAACCGTGAATAAACAATAACACACACACATGTTATAGTAATAAACTATACCTACATTCTTCCGTTGTCAACCTCGAAAGATGTCGAACAGCACTTTATCAAGACTCCTTCTCCATAGAACGGCTAGGCTCTGGAATTCATTGCCTGTGGAAGTATTCCAAAAGTTCAAAAAAATTCCAATACCTACCTCCTGTCCCTATCCTCCCTAGGCACGCACGATGTTCTTTGAACATTATAGGGATTCCCTTTCGTGCGCTCCAAGCGATAAAAAAAATGGGATAGGTCCATTATCCTTATTCATTATTCTATTACTATTCTCAAATATCTCTAAGCTTTCATATGCATCTTCTTCTTCTTCTTCTCTGCACAGGTGGGCGGGTGCGTAGACCCCTGCACTCAGGCCTCTTCAGTCGGGCCCATTGTGCGCCAACTTGTCCTGTGAATCAGCTGGGCATGCCGATTTCTTTGACGAAATGCAGCAGCTTCCTCAGCTGAGTCACTTGCACATCTTTCCTCTGATGCACCAGCGCGGGGCATTCTAGTTTTCTAATATTATTATAACTTGCTTATCGATTGAT